CTAAGCAGTTGCCAGGAGCCAAAAACTGACTCAAAGGTGCATGAGCATGCGCACGCACACACACACACACACCCCTAAGACTGTGTAAAACATTTTTAAAAATCCTTTGCAAAATGTGTTAGAGCAAATGAAGCAACTCTTTTTGAAATATCAAGGTGGCACATCCCTGCAAGACCCAAGTGTCTGTTTCAAATGTTGCATCGGTCATTTGCACATGTCTTCTTTTTGGGTAAATAATTAATAGTAACAACAGCAACAAAGGTAATGGCAAACTACTTCAGTACTATTGCCAAGAAAACAGCATGACTCTATTTGTCTACAGTCATCAGGATTTAAGCTTGATTTGAGGATTTATTTTTCTTCATTTCTTTTTTCCATCAGAAGGCACTTGGGACTAATATCTAATGCTCTTGCAGTGAGCAACACTGCAGGGTCACCTTCTGACTGCCACTGGCATCTGAGTTTAGTTTCTAGCCAGCTGACAGATGAATGAGATGCTCGCATCAGAGCATCATGAACCAAATGCATCTTGGCCAGGAACGGTAGAGCTTTTGGGCAAGACAAGAATACATATCCCAGCCAAGACAAGGCCAGTCTGGAACTGAGTCAGGCACCACCCCCAACAGCAGCAGCAACTATATTTATACAGCATCAGCCACCCTGCAGATTTGCTCGCTGAGATGGAAAACAACCCAAATAGCAGAAACCTGGTCTGACCTTGTGCCTATCTTTCACTCCTTAACTCCTTATATGGTTAGAAAACCGCCCTCCTTGCTCATTACAACTCAGAAGGCTGCTTGTTAGCAATTGTTTATGAACACTTACACCATCATTAATACTCTAATTAGGTTTCTATCATGCCACAACCTGCATTTCTCCTCCTACAACACAACTAGTCTCCTGGGAAATGTCTCCAATTTTCAGCAAGTCACATGGCAGAAATGTACAATAGGGGTTCTCTTGCTTAGTCACAAGCCGTGCTTCTGCCACCCTCCACACCCCCTTCCGTTCTTCATGATTCCCATCCCTCCACCTGGATTGCAGAACTCCATACCATCACTAGATCAAAGCAAGAGTCTGAGTTCTCTCTCTCTTTCTGCTGCAATCTAGTGGTGGTCAGGATTTTGCAGCCCAAATTTGGCAGTTAGTTCCATTGTTGTTATAGCACATATTCCTTCCCATAATTTTACCCCCCAAATGTGTAGGAAGCAAAGAGCAAAAGCAAAGAGAATTTGTACCAAACTCCCAAGAGTAACAGAGAGTACTAATGCATCCTTTCATCTCAATTAGGATGCACATCCTAGGCAACTCAACTGAAATCAAATATGCTACTCCAGGAGAAAATCTGGCCTCCTTTCCTTCACATCTTTCAGATCTGTTCTTCTACCCCTCTCCCCTTAACTATTATGGTTTAACCTCTGAGAAAGAAAACTACTGAGACCCTACAGAGCAAAAACTGCTCCATTGCTTCCAATGACAAGGCTAACTTGCTACATTAGAACATTTAAAGAAGACAAGTTTGTGAAATATTGTAGCATATTTCATAGTTGTAAACCACCCAGAGTCCCTCCTTGTGGGGGAGTTGGGTGGTGATGTAAATTTGACATATAAAATAAATAAATAGTGTCAGGAAATTCAGATTGTATTTTGATTGTCTTGTATTCACAAGGGGGTGCTAAGCTGCTCCCACTTTCACTCTCCACCCTCGCCCCCATCCCCACTCCTGCTAATATAGGAATAACAATAGTTCTTATCTCTCTTAGCACTCGGGCAGCACCATGTGCACTTTTTAGTCTAAAGAAAACAGGTTATGTGGTTTATTGAGTGCTGGGCTAAAATTGCAGAAATCAGCATGTCATCAGACATGAATATTTTTCACTGAGCCTAAATCACAGGGCTCTTGAGAGGAAAAAATCAGTGGGGTAAGTGATATATATCACCACTAATCTTCCCAGAGAATCAGTAACACTAAATAGAATAAATATTTCCTCTCAGTGGCTTAAAGCAATACTCTTTCCCCACATAACTTCACAACAATAATTCTGCAAAATAAGTTAAGACTGAGTTGTAAATGGGCCGAGATCACTTAAGAGGAATTTGAATCTAGGTCTCTCCAGGGCAGGATTTCCAGATTAGGAGGTGTGACTTCCTCCCCCTTCCCTCAAATACTTCGTAACTACAGTTTTAACCACCACATCTCAATTACAGATATTGAAAGGCCAGGAGGAAGGGAAGAGAAAATGGTTTAAGCAACGGCAAAACTGTCAAACCAAAACAGTACAATTATTTTCCTTGTTTCAATTATAGCCGATCCAGCTATCAGGAGAACCTCGCATTCTGCTTCTTCTCGATCCGCGTGGCTGCCTTGCACTTTTCAGTCGCAGCCTTGTTCGTTGCATTACTTCAAAGCCCATCTACGGAACTTACATCCGAACAAACATGCATAGGATCGGGGCGTATTTGCGTCTCTCGCGGGCCCCCTTTCCTTCCCCGGTCCCTCCTCTGTCTCCCGAGGAAACTTCCAAGCTGCAGCTTGCTTCGCTTTTTAAGAACGGCAACAAGCGCAGCGCGCGCGAGGCTGGCCCACGCTGCTTCTTGCCGGAAAGAAACGAGGCCATCGGAGGCTCGCTTCCGAGGAATGAAATAAGCAGCTGCGTTACCAGAAAGGCAGAAATGAAGCCGCGATCTTCGGAAGGCGGATGGTAGGGAAGGCGGACCGCAGCCGAGCACTCCTCGGAGACGTGGGACGAACCCCATCATCCCCAGCCAATATGGCCCGGGTTGATGGGACTTGTAACCAACCCAGCAATCTGGAAGGGGACCGGGTTGGAAATGGCTCACCGCCTGGGATGTTCTGAAGGTGGGAAATAGCTCGGGCGCCGCAAGAGCGGAGGGGGGGGGGGTGATGGGGAAAATACCTGCCCCCAAGACAGAAGGGGGAAAAGCCAAGGAGGAAATACCTTCCTCTTCCTCTTCTTCCTCCGCTCTGAGCGCACGGAGTTACCTTTTACAACGGCTTCAGGAGAGAGACGCCCAAAAGAACTCCAAACAAAAACACGAGGCAGCCCCCAAATGCAAAGCGGCTGAGGTCTTTCTTCCGGGCAGGCGAAGTTAGGGGGCTTCTTAACTGGTTCTGGTAACCCCAGAGTGTTGCTGTTGCTGGTTCGGTCCGCTCGAAGCCCCAGCAAGCGCCCGCGCGCCAACAATAGAGCCTTGCGGGACTCTCGCCCGCTCCTCCACTGCCTGCGTGCGCCTGTCAAACCTCACAAGCATGAGCTTATTGGCAGGAGCCGCACCTGACCCGGACTGTCAGTCTCCCGCGACGGCCTGTGCCTATTGGTTGGTTTGAACGAGGAGCGCCCTCAGTTGGCCGCCTCTCCCCCCGCCCCCGCCAGTTAGTTTTGTGGATTCAGCTGTCGAGCTGCGCGAGAAGAACAGGCTCCGCGGCGGGTTAAGCTGCAGCGGGGCTGGCCCCGCCCTCTGGTGGGCGTGGCGTAGAACAGGAAGGAAGACCGGAAGGCGGGGCGCTTGCTCAGGCTCTGGGAGGGGCTGCCGGCCTACGGGCGTTGGAGCTCTCGCGGCTTCCTATTAAGGGTCTTCCTCGTTTTTTTCAAGCGTTGCAGGAACGTTCTCGGGAAACCGGTTTTTTTCCTCATCGTTCGCCCCGCACTTGAGGCAGCTTAAAGTTTTCCATAACTGTGGCGTTTTCTTTCTTCTCGCAAAACGCTGCCCAGCTCTTAGACTTACTGCGGGCATGTCCGCTCCCCACCGGGTACTGCCCCCCCCCGTCTATTTTGGCTTGGGCTGGAGGAAAGGCTGAATGCCACACAGGATATGCACTGTAAAAAAATTGAGAAACACCCCCTTCCCCCGAAGGAGGGATGAAAGTCCTGTGAAGCCCCATACCTGGGGGCATGAGATAGTGTAATATCCATATCTCTTTGTTCTGAGAGCCTAAGAGGAGGTGGACTGTATATGAGGTTCTGATACTGGTTTCTGCAGGAGCTTTTGCCATCACAGTAACTGACTGATGCTTTTGCAGCACTTACCTGGGGTTGCACAGGCTCCTTATATCCACATGCTATGCTCTTTTGGAAGCACTGCTGCTGCTGCGTTGTTCTGCCCAGTAGTGCATTTAAACAGGGATGCAGAAACAGTTCTGCTCACGGTGAGTTGCTAGTTCTGTCACTGCTGGGTGCAATACTAGGTTTGGGCTGCTGCTCACACTGAGAGACTTAATGGGTCATACTTTCTGCAGTTTTTCTAATTTTTATGATCTCTGAGGACCATCAAGTTGATCAGGCAGTGCTCCCAGCACCAGTCTCACACAGCTGCAGATTTTATGACTGAGCAATGTGCGATGGTGATTTATGTCCCCCTTGGTGGGGAGAGAGTGGGTGCCATTTTGCCCACTCCATTACAGTATTGGTGGATGCTGCCGCTAGAAGCCATGATGATGATTTTTGTTATGGATGAGCCAATCATGGTTCTGGATTTTGGAAGTATGTATGTCCCCCATGGCTGTTTTCTGTCTGGTTCTGCATGCTGGCAGCCACAAAGTCAGAACTGGACTCCTTAGTCGCTTGCTGTCAGCACTGCCATTCCTTTGAAGCACTAGTCAGGGACAAAGCTCACTTGTTATTGTTCCTTCAAGCTTCATCTGGTGCTTCTTTCTTGTTACCTGTCGGCTGGGCTAATTTAAATACAGAAGAGGACCATACCTGTGTTCAAAATAGCTCAATTGATGAGAAATAGGAATGGAGAAGTGCCAAGAAGGAGCACTAGGGAACCTCCCTCCTGCATCATCCTGTACGCCTGTCACCTGTTAGTTAAACAACATGATGGGTGGCTAAAAGTGCTGCTCTAAGCAGCCACTTAAACTCACCCCATGTCATGTTAGGGAGAGTAATTGATGTTGATTTTCCTACCTGCCAGTGATACTTTTGGGATGGGGGTAAGAACAAAGCTGGGGAATCAGCCAGTCCCTTTCCTTTAGGTGGCCCACAATAAGTAAGTAAGGACAGCACCATTCAGCAAGTTTGTTGCTGTGGCAGAATAGGTGATAGCAGCATACTTTTTGCCAGCATACTTTTTTGTAGACAGCAGTTTAATTCAGCAGTGAGAAAGATCCTAAAGCTAAGCAGCAAAAATAGATGCATGGAAATGTAAGCTATGCAGTGAAACCTTTGATACTAATCTTCGGGCCTGTCACTATCTGTTATGACCTGGCAATTCCATTTTTCCCTCTAGATACATGATGTTCTTCACATCTTGTTCCCAGCACATCTTGTTCCTACTTCTAAGTCATCTTAAAAATAAAAGTAGATATTTTCCCCTGAAGTTGAAAAGTCTCATCACAGCTTCATGATATATAAAATCCATAATAGTCTGTCACCCATTACCTGGGAGGTGTGCATAGATAGAGATCAGATGAGACAGGTCGCAAGGGAAGCAAGTGATGACGTGTGTCATGTTGTCATGATGCAAATGCTGCAACTTATTATTTTCATCAGATGTCAGAGCACAAATAGGGTGAGATTTGTGTGGTGATGTCCCTGCAGCCTTTTGTGATACTGCTAGTTGGGTGACCTGTTATGACTAAGGTATGTTCTGGGGGGTTTGAACATGCCCGCTCCCCTCTAATTACAAGTCAGCCTCCACTAGAGTCTGTTTCTTTTTTGCAGCTTGCCTTCTCTATTTGCATTTTGTTTTCCAAATTATAGCCCTCTTCCCTATATTTGAATTCAATTTCTCCAGATTTTCAGCAAGGTAGGGGAGAAAAGAGCAGGCTTCCCCTATTTTATTGGAGCAAGAAGAAGGATATCTGTACAATTCCATATTCATATTATCTGAGGGAGTGTCAGTGGGGATGTTTATCTTAGATGCAGATGATCCCACAATAACAAAGGCTGAATTGGGCTTCAGTTTTGTATTTGTCACTTTCCTGTATTTATTAGTTTGAGTTACTCTCTGATGCCTTTTGTGAAGTAAGGGTGGTGGTTGCCTAGCAGCTAATCAGTTTCAGTTCTCCTCTTTGGGGCTTCAGTAGTTGCCAGTCACAGCAGGCTCTACCTCCTTCCTCCTTGGGGCTATTTGTACCACATGTATGCTTATTTCACATTATTTGAATGCGGGGGATGCTCAAATGGTGCGTAGAAGGAGTGGCAGACAAATCATCCTACAGAAGCCAGGTAGAGTCCTTAAGTCAGACCTGGTGCTGGTGCAGTGCCCTAACTGGTGGCTGCCAAGATTCTAAGAAGAGGCAGCAGAAAGCCAGTAGAGAAAAGAAATCACGTTGCTTATAACAACTCCATGTTCACAAGTTAGGAGAGCCCCTTTGGGCAGGGACTCAGTGTGTTAGGATAAAAAAAGGTAAGTCTTCCTTGAGATGAGCATATGCTAGCGAGTTAACTCCGTAAGAATAATAAGTCAGCTAAGTGGTTCATTAAGCCCGCTTTGGTTGATCTCAAGAAACTAAACAGGGTTAGACTTGGTACTTGGATGGGAGACCAGCAGGCAATCCTAAATCTGTGGATTGGACTGGGAAATCAAAAAACAGACAAACCACTTCTGTACTGTTGAATTACATGGATTAAAAAGATATTTACCTTTAAGAATAACATCATTCACCATTTTAAGCAATTTTCTTCCCCAGTTACATTCCTGACCTGAAATGCTGCAGCTGCTGCTTCTAGAAAAATCAGATAATTCATGATCTCAGGTTCAAAATACTGACACAGTTGGTAATTTTTAAAAATACATTATATATATATATATATATATATATA